AGAGAGAGAGAGAGAGAGAATATTTAGGAAGAACATTTCAAACCTTTCTTCTCTCTCTCTAAGATCTCTTTTCTTCTTGTTTTGTTCATCAGAATTAGAGTTGATTGGCCATTACATCTGTATATAACCGTTTTTATAAATGGAAAGCTTTAGAAAAGCCTATGGGGCTCTTAAAGATTCCACCACTGTTGGCCTTGCCAAGGTCAATAGCGAATTCAAGGTATGCTCAATCCCTGCATTGAATGTATGTTAATGTGTATAGATACATTTTTGTTCGAACCGATAAAATGTGTTTGGTTTTGTTTATAGGATTTGGATATTTCCATTGTTAAGGCCACCAACCATGTCGAATGCCCCCCGAAGGAACGCCATATTAGAAGTGAGTGCATCGATGAGATTTGTGTATGATCATATATACATTAGAATAGGCCATGCTTGTTTAGAATCAAGTGAATTTTGATGCATATAGTTTACTTGTTTTGAAATTTAGTCCCAATTCTTGTCTCAGAAATCTTTTCCGCTACATCTGTGGCACGACCAAGAGCTGATGTTGCCTATTGTATCCACGCGCTTTCAAGAAGATTGGCAAAAACGCGCAATTGGATTGTAAACCTTCTCTTCTCATTACATGTATCATATATATGTTATTTTTAATGACAGGAAAATTTAAGATAGGCGCAATGTCTAATACACTCAATCCCGTCAAGTAGACGCCGTATACCTATTCATTAAGCCTCTTATGGAGACTTATTATAGTTCACTCGAACACATTTTTCATCAATTAATGATGGGGTATTCATTGTATCACATCATAGACTTGAGAAAAAACCATTAATTTTTAAACTACAAGTTGTAAAATCTTAATTTAAGCAAAGAAATGTTACTAAAGGAGCATTCAACAGTTTATGAAAGACTAAAATTCAGCCTTTAATGTGTGCTAACATATGATCGTATTATAGGTTGCAATAAAGGCTTTGATAGTCATTCATAGGGCATTACGAGAGGGAGATCCTACCTTTAGAGAGGAATTGCTACACTACTCTCACAGAGGACATTTATTTCAAATATCAAATTTTAAGGATGATTCAAGCCCTATAGGTAAATTTATTTCATTTACATTAAAGAGATTCGAGATTATTCTCAAAGTTGGAAATTGAGCAGTTTCGTCTAACATTTTGATAGTCATGATGCAGCGTGGGATTGCTCTGCTTGGGTCCGAACATATGCACTCTTTCTGGAGGAAAGACTCGAGTGTTT